CTGAGCTGCCGTTTACAGGGACGGAGAGGATGCTGGGTGGTTTTGGTGGGACTGGGAGTCAAGATTTAAGGTTTTGACATGTTACATCTGGGATGCTCTGGGGAGACCCTGAGCAGACATCTGAGTGCAGGTCCATCTGAGTGGGGCAGACAGTTGGATATGAGTCTGGAGCTCAGGGAGAGTCTGGAGCCAGAGAAGTAAATTTGGGGGCTGTCAGTATATGGGTGCTGCTCAATGCCATGAGGCTGGATGATATCACCTAGGGAACTCACTGCCAAGGGCGGGGGGGTGGGGGCAGCAAGAACCTTGCCAGCTATGAGTGCCCTGCAAAGGCTGGGGATAGTGTTGCCGTTACAGGTTCCCCCGCTCTCTGAAAGGGCCTCCCATGAAAACTTTCATAAGCCAAAATGGTGTAAAGAAGTAATTATTGTTAATTTGTTTGGGAAAAAAGGCTTTAGTGTTCCCAGATCCCCCAAATAACCTCTTTTAGGCTTTTCTTAGGACACATCTTGCTAATGGATGCACAAAGTCAATGGAGACAGGGCACAGGTGCTCACAGACAGAGTTCAAAGCTATGGTGGCTGGATGTGGAGATTCTAGGTGTGGTTCTGCGGAAGGAGCTTGGTGGGACCACTCTTGCAGCTTGGGCTGTGCGTTGCCTCTATCACGGCTTGCTTTCTAAAGAAATGCCGAACAGTTTTCACTTTTCACCTTTTTCCGCAAAAGCAAAATTGTCTTCTATTTCTTCCAGTTAGTGAAAACAGGTACTAACTTGGCTCTTTTGTAAAAGTGAACTGGCCTAACTCAAACTTTCAAAAACTAGGGAATACCTGTAGTAGTGAACACATTAGGTGTTCAAGCTGAAGTCGATGCCTTCCTGCCAGGGACTCTAATATAAAACACACGTTTAAAAATCAAGATTAGCTATCAGAGGCTGAGCACTTGCTACAGTCATACTCTGCTAGACCAGAGAGCTCTGAGTACAGGCAGCCAGGATGTTCATGGTCCTGTTGCAGAGATGACTCTCCATCCAAGGAGTGGGGTTGGAGGCGTGGACTTGACTCCACCCTGTCCTTGTGTCCATCTGTGGCTTAGCTAAAATTGAACCCTGGAAAGACCCACCTGGGGTGTATCCCTGGCCCCATCATTTTCTAGCTGTGCTGCCTGGACTAGTCTCCTACCATCCTTGAGGTTCAGCTTTCTCATGTGTGGAAATAGCACACTCATCCTTCCCTTGAAGGGCTGCTTCAAGGAAGTCATGTAAAGAAATGATCACAAGGCCTTGTAAGCCCTTTATCTCATTTGATCCTTACAGCAAGCCTCTGAGGTAGAGCCTTTCATTAACTCCCATCTTATAGATGAAAAAACTAAGACTCAGAGAGAAATGTCTACCTGAAGTCACTTCTGCTATTCTCTTGCCCACTCCACAGTCAGGCCACAGCAAGGAATGAATAGGGGTTTCATTCTACAGGTCAGTGATCATTGGGTGGTGCTCGCATGTACTTAAGAAAGTCTGACATTGCATCCAGGCTCAGTAGGAAAGAGTGCTGCAATTGATTGGCAATGTCTGCGCTGGGAATAGCAGTGGCGAATTGTGAATATGTCCTATCATTTGTGTTCCTTGCCCTCAAGTCCTTCCTTCTCTTGATAGCCAAGTCTCTGCAGAGGTAACTGTTATTGTAATGAGCAGAGCAGAAAATAGTAGCATCTGGTCTGAACCCCAAATTTACCTCCAGAATCCCCGTGTGTCTCCATTTTCCCTGCTCCATCACTAAAGACGTGGGTAATACTAAGCTGTGCAGGGAGGAGGTAGTCAAATGGGCAGGACTTGCAAGCTTCTTGAGCAACTTCTCAGTGTCTGGCATCAAGCTAGATTCTCCTTGTGGAGCACGTTAAATCTGAACATCAAACAAAAGGCTGGTATGACTGTTTCCATGTTATAGAGGAGCAAATTGGGACTTCTACATGTTAAATGGTTTGCTCCAGATGGCACAGCTGGTGAGTGTCAGTACTAGGCTGTACACGAACCCAAGCACCATCAACAACATAACTCTGATTCTGCGAGAGACCCAAACCCATGAGAGGCTCTGCCAGACTGCAATTTCTGCCAGCCTGTGGGCAGCCTAAGAGCTTAGCAGAGACAAGCCCCAGCTGACTTCTTCATGGATCAGTGGGTGCTACCCTACCCTCCCTCCTTCCTGCTTTGGTACAAGCTCAGTCTTTCCTGGGTCCCTAAAGCCCCTCCTCCCCAGATATGTTCCCCAAGGCCAGAGGGAGGCAGGCCACCAGCCATGTCACAGGGAGCTCCATAGGACTCCCATCTGCCAGGGGCTAAGAAGAGGTTGTGAAGCATCTGTTCTTGGAGCCTGGGTCCTGGGCGAATCCTGGGGCAGATGGAGAAGACTCCCATGCCTCCAGCTTTTCTGAGGAGCCAGGCAGGTCCTCCTCTACCTCACATAGTGGCTTAAGGCTTGAAAATGGCTCACTGGCCTCACACTTACAGACAGAACACCTGACTTCTCTCTCACAGTGGCCAAAGCCTTCTGAGCTTTCCCTTGCCTGTTCTTGCCTCCACCCTCTGCCTTAAATTTTCTTACTTGCAGAACTTGGGGGAGGGGGCTGTCTCTGGAAGCCAGGGATGAGCTGCAGTGCCCAGATGGTGGGTGAGATGGGGTGGAGGGACTGGGGAATGCTGCAGTGGGGGCAGTGCCTGGGAGGGGTTGGCCCAGCCTGGTCTGGTTAATGCCTGCTCGACTCCCAAGAGGCCAATGGACAGTCCTGCTTCGCCCAGTGTCTGAAGCTGTGGAAACTGGGCAGATCCACGCCTATTGCCTGGCTCTCCCCCTACACCAGTTACCTTTCCCTGCTCACTCTCTCCAGTCTCCTGACCCCCACTCCTAGGAGTGGGGTCTTTCTTAGGAAACTTTGGGGTTTGTTTTTCCTTTGGGGGACTTCTTCTTCCCTCTTTCTCAATTGGCAGGGGGTTAGGCATATAGAAACCCAAATGGGAACAAGCTATGGCTCCTACCTAACTTCTCCAGGTTTTAATGGGTTTTGGTATCTTCACATGTACTGGGAAAGATGATTTTATGACCTAAGAAAATTAAAGAAATTCCATTAGATGTCTAAGTTCACAGTACAAGAAAGGGGGTGTTACAAAAGAGTATGTGTGTTCACGTCAGGGCCCTCCTGGGACTTCCAGTTCCATCCCTTAGAATGTTCCTGTGTCAGGTGTTTTTAGGATGTCTGGAGTTCTGTGGTTCTGCGTCCCTTCCAGGACTTGCGTGAGGGTCTCTGGTCGGTGAGCTGAGGGGTTTGCCCACGAGGCATCTGTTTCATCTTGATTTGTTTACGTGTCCGGTTGTGCGATAAACATTTACCGAGGCAGCGATTTCCAGGTTGAATCTGAAGTGTAGCCCAGATGGAGGCAGAGTTTGAATGGCAACCTGATGACCCAATTTGCAACCCCCTTACTCCCTGGTCTCCTCAGGCGGCTGGCAGTGATGGGTGTGTTGGAGGGGAACTGAGGATCCCTCACAGATTTCTGGCCTGAGGGACTGAATACATGGTGGTGCCCTAAACGAACACAGCAAAACCAAGCCAGGCCAGCTTGGAGTAAAGAGCTGTGTCTGGGATAGGCTGACTCCGAGGTGCAGGGGTCGAGGCTGCCCAGGGGAGACAAGCAGCAGAAGGCAGAGGAAGGAATCTAAGGGCAGGCAGAAACCAGGCTGGGAAAGAGCCTTGGAAGCTGCTGGCCTAGAAGCCTCAGATGAAAGCAGAGTGGGGATGGGAAGGTCTAGAGTGTGTGCAGGGGGAAGGCCAGGGCAAGGCTCGGGCCCCAGCATCCCAGGGCAGATATCCACCCTCCCCCGCTGCCAAAGGACACCACCAGTGGACAGTGAGAGGATCAGATGGCTGGAGGGGCTGGAAGAGAACCCAAAGGGCTCAGGGGCAGGGAATGCAAAGGACAAGTCATCAAGAAAGTTGAAGTGACCAACAGGGAGAACTGGAAGTTAACGGAATCGGGTTAGTGACACAGAAGTCAATGGGATGTGTGGCTAGGGTGCAGAAGCCAGACTGAAGTGGGCTGGGGTTGCTGAAAGGGGGGACAGTGAACACTTTTCAAAGGAAAGGGAAAGAGTCAGACTGGAAAACGTGAGAAGAATCCAGCAGAGGAGAGGGATGATGGAAGAAGAGGTAGCAGGGACCCCTTCTCCATAAAATCTGAACAGATCCCAACCTATATGTAGACATGAGTAGAGCTGCACTGGCTGAAGAAGTGGGGTGGGGTGTGGGGGTGAGGGTTCTGCCCGCCCATGCTCCCCTTGCCTTCCGTGGAGCCTCACAGCAGCCCCGAGCTCCCAGAGCCCACTGGCCTCACACCACCCCTTCATCTTAGAGAAGACGACTGGCTGGCCAAAGCCACGGGAGAATCTGGTGGCAGAGTTAGGAGCTTCAGCTCCTCCCCCATCCAGTGCCTTCAGCTCCTCATCCAGAGTGTTTGACTATACATTTATTCATTCAACAGACATTTATTGAGTGCTTACTGCATGCCAGGTACCTGGTCTGTAGGGATGTCTAGGAACCGCTTCTGAACAGCCCCAAATACCGATGACCACACCCTGTTGACCTCAGGAGGTGGGTATGCAGAAGGCTGTCTTGCACTCATGGCCTCTGTTTGTGTATACAGGCAGGGCTTTGTGGGGTCTGGCTTGACCTCAGAAAGTTCTGGAATGCCCTCTACACTCAACAGCCCAGTTTGACCCTTTACCAGTCTTCTCCATTCCTAGCTGCCCAAGGGGGTAAGGATGTGGTCATTCTAACCCTCTGTGGGGCAGGTGTCCCTGGGCTCCAACGTGTCCCTGAGCGCGCAGCCTTCTCATCTGGCCTGAATTTTCTGATTATGGCGCAGCAGCAGTGACAGCGGTAACAGTGACTTGTACCAGCACCCCCCGAACACCGCTCCTGGCACACTGAGTCACCACCCCTTTATCCCCCAGGGCATACCTGGAAATAGTCTCACTCTGATGGGATACGCCAGCTTCTTCTGTCCCCCACAGTAGCAGTCCCTTGATGTTCAAAGGTTTAACAACCGACGTTTCAACCATTTGGAAGAGAGGACCCCAACCCCAAGCAGTGACACGTAACCAGTCGTACACATTTGAACAGACATTGGTGAGTAGGGGTGAGGGATTAGCTAGAGTGAGCACGGGAGAGGGGGAGATGACAGGTAGATAAAGGGGGGCCTAGGGTGAGGTCCTTGATTTCACACAGATGCACAGTCCTGACTCATCAAGGAGAAGGGATGGGGGGGTTATGCATATCCTCCCAAATGGCACCAAGTGATGTTGGTTTGGGGGGTGACAGGGGACATGACGAGAAAAAGCAGGTGACTGCCATGGGGACAGGGGAAGGGAACACCAGGGTAAGGGTTGGAGCATGAGTCAGTGAAGATGGGGCTGGTGGAGACTAAGGGAGCTGCAGCCTCGAGCTCCAGGGGTGCACCTGATTGAGCCCATCGCCTTCTCATGGGCATCAGGGAGCCAAGAGAAGAATGTTATGGGCAAAATCATCTCAAGACTCCATTAGGTGAAATGAATTAATTAGTAAACGAGGGGCTTCAGGAATGGTTTCCTTAGGACAGTGCACTCCAAGGAGTGTGTTCTGCAGCACCCATACTGGGAGACACTCCTGTGGCCAGTTAAATTTGGGAAGGCCACGGGGCATTCTCTTTCCTGTGGCAGCCTCACAACACACATCACCACATTAAAGGCTCTAAAAGTCCTGTGGTAACAAAAGCTACTTAACTTGTCTCACTCAGCATTTCCCACATTCATTTGGCCATAGAATTAAAAAAAAAAAAAAAAAAAAAAAGCAATCCCATTAATATCCCTCAGAGGAACCCCGACCCACAGTGTGGCAAGTGCTGGTACAGAGGGATTGGCAAAAGTGGGATGTCTCTTGCAGATGTCAGGGGTCTTCTGTGTTGCCCTCCCCCTACCCATCATATCACATCAGCCCCTGATCAGACCCTTGGGGCTCTTTGGCCAAACATCCTAGAAACATTCTCTGCAAACTTGACTCCAAGCCCGGCCCTTGCCTGGCCTCGAGCCATGAAGGATGTGAAAAGAAGACTTACAGGGGCAGGGGCGTTTGAAGGACATGTAATCCTTGGAGCAAAATAGCGGAGCCAGCCTGCCCACTTGTACGGTTCCAAGTCCTTGGAGAAATGGGTCCTCCGCTCACCTGCAGAGACACAAACAGAAAGGTGATGGGAGTGCCCACATGGTACCCAATGACCCTGCCAGTTTGGCACTCAGGTCCCTGGGCTGTTAACCTCTGGGGAAAGGGTGGTGACTTTGACAGCATGTGCCCAGTCTGGGTGGGGGTCTGGGGTCCAGCTCTGGGTGGTGGAGTGTGGGGGTTCTGGGGCAGGGGTGGGGCAAGTGCATCCTGGGGTCTCAGTGGTGGGTGGAGGGGGGATTATCTCCTCTGGGTGGACGCTTGAACAGGAATGAGAAATGCCCTAGTGTTCTCCTGTCTCATGAATCTGCCTGGTACAATAGCAACAGACGATGGCAGTCTGGGCATTTTATAACTGGAAGGACCCTTACAGATCAGCCCAATGTTCTCATGTCACAGGGAACAGACCTGGAAAGGGTAAGGAGCCAGTTCAAGGTCCCAGAGCTGGCTTTGGAAGGTGCTTAGAGTTGCCTAACTGAAACCTTATTATTATTACTATTATCCCAACACCTTTAAGGGGATGATGCTCTTTTCATTCTCATTTTATAAATAAGGAAGTTGAAGCTTAGAGAGGTTATATAGCTTGTCCAAGGTTACACAACTTCTAATTATAGGCTGGAACTAGAACCCAGGTCTTTCTTACCCCAAAGCCTCCATTGCCAGTGAGCATATCACTTAGAAGGCACCTAATAAAGACCAAGAGAATGAAAATATCTCTAATCTCCTTGCCCCACCGCCCCATGAACTTGGTGTGAGCAACAAGGGAGCACCAGGTCACTCTAACACCCATTTGCAAGAGAGGAAACATTTTCAAAAAGTAACCCAACCTCCTGTGCTGCTAAAGATCTGAACCGGTTCAGTCTCTCCTGAGCTTCAAGTGACGTGAGGCTGTGTGAGCAGTGGGGAGATACAGTTGTTTTGTAGGGAGTGTGGTCACTAGACTTGCAGAAACCAAACTGTACCTTTGGGGTGGAGTTTGGTGGGGTCCTGTGGGGGAGAGCTTGCAGCCAGGGGCTAACAGGAAAAGAGCCTGGCCCCTCCAGGTCCCAGGAGGCAGTTGACCTCCCTGATCCCGGGGAGTGACAGTGTGGACAGAGCTTTTGTCTAAGACTCAGGTCCCAAGGTCCCCACCCTTTTTTTTTTCTCAAGGATCCTTTTTTTTTTTTTTTTTTTTTTAAATTTTTTTTAATGTTTTATTTATTTCTAGGAGAGAGAGAGACAGCGTGAGCAGGGGAGGGTCAGAGAGAGAGGGAGATACAGACTCTGAAACAGGCTCCAGGCTCTGAGCTGGCAGTCAGCACAGAGCCCGACGCGGGGCTCGAACCCACGAACCGCGAGATCATGACCTAAGCGAAAGTCGGATGCTTAACCGACTAAGCCACCCAGGCGCCCCTCAAGGATCCTTTTTATTATATACAGTTTTCCCTCCAGATGGGTTCCATGTTTTGATGGAGACCATTGGCCAAACTGCACTGATTAATAACACTTTTCTATTTAATAGATGAATCCAAGACCTATCTTTGGAGAGCCTGAGCCCAGAAGTCCAATTCCTGAGTGCTGGTATCATGCTGCCATTTCTTGGAGTGTGACTTTAGACACGGTACCTCACCTGTCTGAGCGGCAGGGTCCTCAGGGAGAAAGCAGGATAGGGCATTTCACTGGCTTTGAGGATGAGGGGTATGTATGTCATGTTCATTCTGTTGTCCAAGGGGGTCAGTGGGAGGGAGCCATTGCTGCTGCTGACCCTGGGAACCCTCTCTCCGGATGGCTCCTTCCAGCTCAGTCTTCTGGGTGTGAACCCCAGGGTGGCCTGATATGTACCCCCCCATCCCCACAGACACCAACAACAGTGTTGATGGGGGAAGGGAGGGTAGGATGTGCTCTCCCTAGGCCTGGTAGAGAAGTCTCTCAGGTATGGCAGGCTGCTTAGAGAACTGTGATTTCACACCAGAAAATTCATGAAGAATCTGGGGGCCTGGGATCTATACTTTCTAAAAGTACATGTGTGTACATGTATCTGTGTTCACATCTGTGAGTGTGCCCGTGTGCACTGTGGCCACGTGTGTGTCTGGAGGGAGACTTAAGCAGGCTGACGGGTCATCTCTCATGCTGCTTCCAGAGAAATCTTTCTTAAAGGCATAATGGATCATGTCACTCTTTTGCTGAAAATCCATAAATCCTCAGTGTCCTTAGGAAAATGACCTGGCTTCACCACTACCTCCACAGCCCTGTGGCTCTGCTTACCTCTTTAGTGAACTGGCATAATGCGAGCGCTTAATAAAAATATACTGCATGCACACTTCCTATAGGGTGACTGTGGTGGCTCCTGATGCCATGGAGGGTGCTGACTACCCTCTAAATTCCAAGAGGTTGTCTCCAAGGTCTTGCTTCTCCTCAAGACCCCCTGTACTCCCTCCTTCCTCCTACTGGGCCCTGTGACTCTGAGGTGAACGTTGAGGCAGCATGGGGTGAGAGACAGGTGGGAGATGGGCCGCCTAGGGCAGGGGCCAGGAACCCTCACGTTGTATATTTTGTGGTCAGTTTGGATGTTTGGTGGACAATGTGTAAATTTCCAAATGGCTCAGGAGGCTGGCACGGGGCTGGGTCAGGTAGACATTTGTGTATATGGAAGCATTCTGGGCACTCCAGCTTTTCAGGTGTGACCCACATTCACCAAACACCCGTGTGTGCCAGATGATGTCACCAACATTATTGCAATGTTCCCTGATGTAGGTAATAGCATTTTCATTTTGCAGATGAGAAAACTGAGGTTCAGTGACTTGACCAACCCAACATAACAGAGAAGAGATGGTGGAAGAGCTGTGAGGGAGGGATCCTGTCCCCAGTGCTCCTCAGGGACACCCCAAAGAGATCTGACACCCTTATTCCTCTGACTGGCCGGCTTTTGGGACACACTGGGTCTTTCGTACTTCCCTTTCCCTGGCATGCCATTCCTTTCCTCTCCACCTGGCAAACTCCCATGTAGCTGTCATCTCATAGCTGAAGAAACCTCTTCAGCGAAGTCCTCTTTGACTGCTGGAGACAGAAGAGCCATTCTGGCTGTGCCTCCACAGCACCTGGACATCCTTCTAGGATGACTTTGGTTCTAACTTGTTCTAGATTGTTGGCTTCCTGTGAGTATGGAGGACCATTGTGGCCTCTGGGAACTCACTCAGGGCTGGGCACCGAGGGGACATTCAAAAGTATATGGATTCTAGAACAAATCCACCTTGGCCTGATGTCAGCATAGGACTGCAGTGTTGAAGCTGCCTTTTAATGATGCTCAACTTCCTGAGGAAAAGGACGCCCATGTAAGGAACTGAGATGCTCCCCGACATCGTGGGTGACAATGATGCTGACGTTAGCTAGGGTACCATTTCCTGCATCATGTAACTCAATTTGCACTTCACATACATCTTCTTGCTGCATTCTCCCAGCATTCCTGGCTTGCATCAGTTTATTCAAATATTTACCAAGCACCTAGAGGGTGTCCCATAAAATCCTTGGAAAACAAAAGGAGGGGCTTTTGGGGTCCTAAAACAGCAATCTCAACCTTACGGTTTCCTCTTCCCCTCCCCCACTTGTGGATTTCAACAAGAGGATCTACAGGAAAACCATTTCATGGTGGCATCAGACCCTCTGCTTGGGTGGAGCTTTGGTTGGGTTATCAAGACAAAGGAACTGGATGTCAGGTATCTATGTGCGCAAGTGCCCACCCCGCTCTCCCCACATGTGACCAGAGCTGCCGTGAGGACACAGTGATGGGGTAGTGGATGGCCAGGTCCGTCACGGATGGGCTGAGATTGTGTTTTGCTGGGCGAGGTGTTCCGGAGCAGGGACTGCAGGAGTAGGGGTGGGGCTTGGACCCACTCTCAGGTCACGTCTCCCCCCTGCCCGCCTGTCTCGGAGCCCAGCATCCGAGGCGAGGCGCGTTCCTGCCTGTGACTCATCTGCGACTGTATTGTCTGGCTAGAAATCGGAGGGCGGGCGGCGGCGGCACTCCAGGCTCTGAAGTGGCTTAATGGTGTGCGGCAAGTCCACGTCACTCCCATTCCGCCTCACGTCCCCGCTCCCAGAATACCTCGTCTGGGGCCCACTGCGACACTCAGACCTGGGCAAATGCGTATGTGGTTGAGGGGGGGGTGCGGCGCCGCGCCCCTGGCGGGCAGAGCCTGGCTGGCGGAGCCGGCTGGCGCAGTGTGCAGGGGCGGCACGGCGCATGCGCGGCAGTCGGACCCGGGAGGGTTCTGCGGCACCGCGGTAGACCGCGGACAGCGAGGGGCCGCAGAAGTGGGCTGGCCTGTGGAAGAGGCCACGTGACGCTGTGACGCTGATGCGGCACCAGCTCTACCGCAGTCACGTGTCGTCTGCCCAGGGGATCTCAAAACAAACCCCCCATTTTGCAGATGTCAACACTGAGATTCAGAGAAATGAAGGGGGTTGGGTGAGATAATGAGCTCCCGGCCCCAAGACTGCCCTTTGTAAGATTTTAAGCAGGGGAATGACAGGGTCACCTTTTAGGAAGGTCTCCCTGGGCTCAGTGAACAAAGGGGATCAGGGGTGGGAGGCAGGTGACAGGGGAGCAGGGAAGCTGTGGCAGATGATGGGCTTAAATGAAGGCGATGGTAAAATGGAGTAAAGTGAGAGGCTGCATCTTTTGGTTTGACAGTATTTTTTCAAAGTGCCTTGTGAACCAAGTTTTGGGTGCTAAGGATAGAGAAGTGAAGCATACACTGATTGCCTGTCCTCACCAAGCTTCCTGCTAGTAGAGGAGACACACACGTAATGGTGGGGTTTGTTAGATAACAGTAAGGGAAGGAACAGAGGCAGTGTATATGTGAAGACTGAACATTTAGATATAGTGGCTGCAGAAAGGCCTTGGTGAGACGGTGATCTGTAAGCGAAGACTGGAGGAGGGGAGCTAGCTGGGTGGATGTGTGGGAGAAGGGGATGCCAGGCAGAGGGACCAGACAGTAAGAAGGCCCCTGGGCAGGAGGATGCTGGGTGGGTTTGAGAAACAGGCAGGTTTGTATAGGGGCTATTTAAGAAGCAGGACAGACGGATCAGATGTAGAGGGTGAGGAAGAGGGAGTGGTTAAAGATGATTCCCTGTGTCTGCTTGGGTGTTGGTAGGTGTAGGGTGGGGGGATGGTGGAGAAATGGAGGCCCTTCCAGAGGTGGGTGAGGTGGAGACTCCAGATCTAGACAGCTCAGAGAACTACTGGTTCTCTGTCCTTACCACAATAAATGCTCAAGGACTATTTACTGAGTGAATGAATGATGCCATAACAGGGGTTCCATGAACCTGTGGGTGTGCATGTGATTGCCCAGAGCCCGAAGAAATTCAGAGATTCTGGACTTTAGTAAGACACACTAATTTCAAAAGGGTTGCATCTGCCTTACCAGGCAGGGGGCTGATTTCTGGGACTGCAGTTGGGGGGGGGTGTCCCCAAGTGGCAGAAAATCTTCCTTCTCTTCAGGAACGTCTTTATGTGAGGCTGAGACCCAGCTGGGGTCTTTCCCAATGGAGAAGAACATTACTTGGCAAGTAGCCTTCTGTAGAATCAATTGCTACCTCCTTCCTCACTGCTACCAAGGTCCAACTTCGAAGGGTTAATTTACTGTCTACCTGCATAAACCAGTCCATCTACAATATGGCAAATAGGTCTGACCAACTGGGTAGAGAAACCTGATTTAAGGCTCAGGAAACACATCACAGAGGGCACCACAAGGCATTATTTATGGCAGTGAAACATGGGAGATGACCCCACTGCTCAATAAAAGGAGAGTCTGAGCAAATTATAATGGAATAATATATAGCCATGAAATAATAGTTTTAAAGACTTTTTAATAACATAGGTAAAGATTTTCAGTATAATGTTAAGAAGGAAAAAATCCCCAGGTTATATATAAAAAAGCAGGTTATAGAACTCTGCATACAACATGATCCTTATTTTGTAAAAAAGAAAAAAAAACAAAAAAAACCTAGGGAATATATTCATATGTAGAAAAAATTTGAAAGGAAATAGATGCAAATATTCACTCCTTGGACTCTCTGGGCAGTGGTGGGGTTAAGGAGAATTTTTGTGTTTTACATTTTTTATGATTTTCCAAATTTTCTACAATGAACATGTATTTTATAATCTGAAAAATCATTAAAATGAAGATTTGAAAAAACCTTTCAGGCTAACAAAGAGTAATTAAGTGAATAAGTGATAGTTAATTAATTGAAAAACTTTAAAGCTAACTTAATTGCCTTTAACCATGCCAGTTGTTATTGCAAAGATTTAAAAAATTGTCTTTGAACTTACTGGTAAGGGGCTTTATTAAAATGTTAGGTAAATAATTTCCATTGTTTTTAACCCTCATCAAAATTTCCCTGGCGCTTGAGCAAGTCCTATTTGCCAGATTTTTGAGGGAATGGTTTCTGCCACAAACCTTAATGTTTTATTTTCAGGCAAGCTATACACTTGGCAAAAATAATAACAATAGACCTTATGTTTGTAAAACACTTTATAATTTGCAAAGCATACTAAGTGCTGGGTACTATTCTAGGCTCTGAATATAGGAGATGTCATCATGAACAAAATGATTAAAAGACCCTGCCTTTGAGGTATTTATATTGATGAGAGTAGACAATAAACAAATGAATATGATATAGAGGTGTTAGAGGTGATAGTGCTATGGAAAAAAAAATGGAGAGAAGAGGGATAGGGAATAAATGGCGGTGGGGGGGGAGTTGCTCTTTTAAATCAGTTTGATTACTGTCTGAATACAAAACATGAAGGTATCTCTAAAAATTCTCTGGCCCATGGAAAGTTAACATGGAGGTATAAAATGATTGAAGATATCCCGGAGGAAGCATTCCAATAACTAATTACACATCATCTAAGATACAGTGTACTAATTATCAATTTTATAAACTCATAAAATTATAATGAGTCATAGGGATGTTTTAAGTATTCTATACCTAGCAACATTAGATAGTCCTTAACCTTTCTCAGCCTCAGTGTTCTCATCTATGCAATGGGGACAATTTCAGTACCTAAATCAGAGGACTGTTGTCAGAATCCAAAGAGAAGTGCTTATGCATGGAACACAGTGTGTGTTCAGTGTATGTTCATAATGCAGATGCAGCAAGGCCACTGGGAATGGTCCATTTGACATTGCCACATGTTTCCTGTATATTACTACTTCAGTCCTCACAAATGTAATGGGAGGTGTGTAATATTTGTTCCCACTTTCAAGAGGAAATTGAGGCTCTGAAAGATAAATCTT